GATGGGGATGGGGATGGGGATGGGGATGCTCCACAGGACCCCCCCCAGTAGGTTCCTAGCTGAAGATACCCCTACAGCAACAGGGTTGGCGTTGCCACCATGGGTGCCCCTAATTCCCCAAAGCCTTTCTTGCCCCCCCCACCCCACCCAACCCCGAGGGGCCGGGGTGAGGGTGCAGCCCTGTGCCTGTATCTCGCCTTTGCTCCAGCGCTGACTCAGGGCCCCACGTGCTGCTTTGCGCAAGAGCCGCGCTGGCAGGCAGACTCTGCCCGGGCGGCTGCCACCATCCTGGTCCCGGCCAAAGGGCAGGCGCAACCCTTGCGTAAAGGCAGCCGTGCCGGGGCGCTGGCTCACCGCTGTGCCAGAGCCGAACCTGGGAGGTGCTGGTGGGAAGGGGTCACCTGGAGTGGAGAGGAGCTGGACAAGACAACCTCTGCCCAGGGCTGAATCCTTCTTTCCTGGCAGGCTGGACTGTGCTCCTTGCAAAGATGGATTATGCCAAGTCCTTGAGCCTGCGCTTGGCTGCCCCTGTCTCCAAGTAAGCGCTGGGGAGCCATCATCCCCGGGGTGGGGGACATCGGAACGCTCCCTGCTTTGGCTCCCCGAGTGGATGTGCTGCTCCCTGCTGAGATCTGGGGGGGGCTGGCACTGCCTGGGGCTGGCAGTGGGTCTCAGGACACCCCCATCCCTCCATCCTTCCCCAGATGTGTCTCGGCAAGTGCCTCCATGACCCAGCAGCTACTGTCGAGCCCGGCCCCGCGACCCCGACCCTACCGCGTCTGCAACTGGGACCGCAGCCTGCGCAAGGGCATCATGGCACAGAGCCTCACCGAGCTGCTGCGCCAGGTGAGCCGGAGGCTGTCTGTCTGTCTGTCTGCCCTGGGGACTGTCCATCCACCTAGGTGGGTGGTGGGCTGGCTGTCCCCCAACCCCGCTCACCCCCAGCACCCTCGCAGGCTCAGAGCGCCCTGCTCGCCCCGGGTCCCGTCTCACTGGTGCTGGATGAGGATGGCACCGCAGTGGAGACGGAGGCTTTCTTTCGGACACTGGAGGAGGGGACGGTGCTGATGGCCCTGAGCAAGGGGCAGACATGGGCTCCCTCCAAGGTGAGTGCATCCCTGGGGGGGACAGGACCCTGGTTCATCCCCTCTGCATCCCATGCTGGGATCGGTGGGGAGATGATGTGATGCTTGCTGGGAGGTACCTGGGATGCTGGGTGAGGTGGGACTGGGAGGGTGGTGGGGGGTGCTACTGAGTAACCCTGGTCCCACTCTCCCTTAGACGCCTGGCTACCAGCTAAGCCTGTCCCGCAAGCCCCCTCGGAGGATCGACGTTGCCTGCGTCACCTTCGACCTCTACAAGACCAGCCCGCGGGACCTGGGCTGCCTCAATGTCAAAGCCACGCTCTACGGCACCTACAGCATGTCCTACGACCTGCGCTGCTACGGGGCCAAGCGGCTGATGAAGTGAGTGCTGGGGTGGG